TTCAAGAACAAAAGCGCTGAATGGTACTGAGACTCAAATCAACCGCGGAAATTGAGTTGTTGGCCGCTTTGTCATCGAATGACGCGGATCTGCGCTGAAATTCATGTAACCCAGAGCGTTGGTCGTTCCCCTCATGATCTTGCTGGACGAGTACCAGAAGTTGAAAGAGCTGGACGTTGAGATCGAACAACAAGTTGACCACACTACTGAACCGAAACCGCGTCAAGCTGAACCCGACTGAGGCCAAGATCGCACGACGACTGTCAATCTCAATCAACCCCGAATTTTCGAGATCATGAGACCGAACGACTGAATCGAGCGATGCGATAATACGAAGTCTACCAAGGTCAAAATTCCGATGAATCCTGATATATCTGCAAGCATGCCTTCGACTTCGGGTACAAGTCAAGCAAATCCAGACAAGCTACACTCGGCTAACAGAGATGGCACAGGAAACATACTTCGGATCGAAAGAACCCCACGTCGCCGTGTAGTCTCAAGTCAAACCGCGGACCAAATGCATGAGAATGCACGCCGGCGACGGGACCTGAATCGAGAAGTTCAATCGGCTACGCTCGGGAAGGTCATGGCCAGCTTCGGCATAAAGCTACCAGCGCCGGATTTCCCTACAACGCAAGAAGGTGCTGATGGACCGGTGTACCTGCTTAAGAAGCCATTGCAACGCTCTCTGTCGGAGATCGCACGCCGTTCAGCTTTACCGCTACCGGCGTTCGTGGAGCTGGTTCGGGGACAAACGGAGCGAAACTACCGTCCGAACAAGAATCTGGTCCCAGCGGCTCTTGTGCAGAGAATCTAAGCACTTGGCGCAGATGCAGAAGATTGCTTAAGAAGGAATCGAAGTCCAGCTAAAAGAAACACCACCTCGGCAGTCACTTGGCCCAGTGAATCATGGCTCGACTCGGGATATAATTAACATCCTGCGCAAGAATATCAGGAAAGAGCAAGATGCTGGGAGGTGCCTGGTCCTCGACATGGACTTCCTGAAACAGTTGCCAGAGATAACCATTAGCCCCATTCGGCGTTGTGGACAAGGGAAGCGAGGACAACACGGTTTCCGGACGTACGATCCACGATCTGTCATATCCTGAAGGAACATCGATCAACAGTTGCACCGATTCAGACAGCATTACCAAACCTGATTACATTCACTGGGACGCGGTAGCACGGGAGATCCTGAAAGAAAAGCAAGAATTCCCCGATGTACCAATCTATGTGATTTCGGGCGACGTCGCTACAGCCTTCCGGGATATTAGCATCCACAGCAACAGCGTCTACCTGTTTGCCGAGTTGATCGAGGAAGCGAAGCCCTTTAATGATCGAGCTTTCCGTGCCTTTCGGATGGACAGGGTCTCCCGGATTCTACTAGATTTTCGGCGGAGCAATATCTACGTTCATGGCTGCCATACCAACCCAGCTTCTCTGCCCGGTTTCTTCAATTACCACTGGGTGGATGACCACATTAACGTAGCTGCAGACATAGGAACCACCTGTTCCGACATGGACCGCTCCCTCCGTTACGCAATGGTGGCCATTCTGGACGCTGACGCCATCAACATCGAACAGTTCACTGATTGGAAGACACGCCAGCGCGTTCTCGGATTCGAGTTCGACTCAGTCGATGGAGTGGTCGCACTACCGGTTTCCAAGATCCAAAATGCATGCAGGATTGTCGCTTCAGCTTACCACTCCTCGACGTTGACTAGAAAAGCGTATCGGTCGTTAATGGGCAGTTTACGTCAGGTGGCGACTTGCATTCGGGACGCACGACCGTTCCTTCAGCGTCTCCGCCACCATGAGGCACGATTCCATCGTTTTCAGGGCGTCTCCGGGACAGACGCAATGCGAGAAGACCTGCTCTGGTGACTGCACAGCCCTCAGCTAAACGGTGTATCTCTGGAATACTTCAGCGCTCTCCCACCCCCGGATGTTGTGGTCGATATGGAAGCGTCGGATGTCGGGCTGTGTGCGCTTGCCGATCTGGCCAAGACTGCGCTGACCTACGGATTTACCCCATCCGAGCTAACGCTGATAGCGGAATTCAAAATGGGAGCGGCCAACGGCTTTGGCATCAACTTCCGCGAGCTCCTCTCGTGTGGCTTCGCGGTGCACCCATGGGGAGAGCGATGGCCCGCGAACAGCCCCATCGACAACAGACCGCGGCACGTGCACTTCCGTATCGGCAATTCATCCGCTGTCGCATGGCAAAACAAGCTGGACTCACGCAACCCCAGGGATCAAGTGATGATCCGCCTGCTTAGCTGGTGGGGAGCATCATATCGGCTTTGGGTTTCAGCGTCTCACGTCGCTGGAACAGATAATACGCGCGCTGACGCCGGTTCCCGTATTCCCGCTAACCCATCGTTTGCAACTGTGTTTGCTTCGCTAACGCCTGGGTGGTCGCAGGTGGCCCCGAAGACGGACATTCAAGGCCTAATCAGTATCTGGCAGCATATCTCCGCGCGCACTCCGTGTCGACTCCACGACGAGGACGTTCTCCCTGGCTTCATGGAATGACTCTCACTGACATGGTGAAGCACATATCGGATTTCGTTTTACATGGATTTCAGTTTGGCTTTGGATCCAGCGGTCCCATCCGTAGCGAAACCATCATGGCGGTGCTCCATGGCGTTCGCCATTTATTTGCCGCCTCCGGATGTGAGTTCCCGGTCGAACATCTGCACATCCGCATACTATTTAAAGGAATTAGCCGTCTCGACACGCCCCGACGCCGCAAGGCATCCGTGTCCATCCACCTCTCAGAAGCATGCTTTCGAGGCCTGGCCATGGAACATCCCCGTGTCCAAGCCCTGTGGGGGTAGTGTGCTTGGCATTCTTTTTTTGAGACGATCAGAGATCGTACCCATCCAAGGTGGATCCTTCAAGTAGTTCGCACTACGAGCGCAAGCCATTGTGGTTGTGGATACCGCTGGACAGCCGACGCAGTGTCCGTCACGGGCTCAGGCTGTTTGGATTCGCCTGAATGGGTCCAAGACCAATCAAGATGGGGCTCCAACGACAAGGATGCTATCTCGCTCTGGCCACCAGTTTCTGTGCCCCGTGTTCGGAGCCCTCATCTTCCATCAAGCAAGGAGGAATCTCCCTGAAAACATCTCAGCCGCCGTGCACATCTCACGCTGGGGACAACCAGCCTGCGTATCGACCGATAATGTGTCTGAAGCTATCAAAGGCGCTGCCGCTGGCACTGGCCAAGACCACCGCCGGTTCAGCTCTCATTCTCTACGCGCCGGGGGAACCACGCACATGTACCGATCTGGCGCGGATGCACTTACAACCCAGTTCCACGACCGCTGGGTTATCGACGCGTACAAGACCTACACCAGGCTCTGCAAAGAGTCCGTCACCACGCTTTCAGCGAACATGGTGGCAGGTCCACCGGGGGATTCGACGCTACATTAGTGGAGCCAATATGCATGACCACTTAAGGGAGCACCGCTCTTTTCGTCCATTTTCGGATTGAGCTGATGGTCATTGCATAAGCTCTCATTAATGTATTTGTTCGTTTGACCACCAAGGATTGTGGAAAAGTGTATTCCATAACGAAGCAGAGCGAGCGAAGGAATTGTGTTTTCCGCACCAGATTTTTGTACCGGTATACCGCAGCTGTACCGGTATACACTGCTCCCGCTTAATGCTGACCACACGTGGCGAGCTCTCTCACTTCGTATTTGGAAGAACAAGCAGCAAGCAGTCAAGAAATACCCGCCTCTCCTCGTCCCTTTTCGGATCGAGCTGATGGTTATTGCATAAGTTCTCATTAATGTATTTGTTCGTTTGACCCCCAAGGATTGTGGAAACCGCCTATTTTAAGCCCGTTTACAACCGTGAGCGCTAGGGTTTGTTATTTGGGCATACATGGGTCATTTGGTACATAAAACGCACATCCATCGTATGGATAAAAGCAAGTTTATTCTCTGGTGACCACTTAAATCAGTGTTGGATTGTGTCGGGACGGTTGTAGAAGCGTCTGTCATTTATCCGGACGAATCCGGCAAACATTGGTCTTCAATTCTTTGTCGTCATAGGGGATGAACTGCGCGCCACTATGGATGATCTGCAAATGATCGAGGCCGCCCAACAGAGCTGGACAAACTGCAGAGTGAATACGACCGTGATTTTGTGGCTTTAAGAGGCGAAATGGAGAGCGAACGACTGCGTCTGGAGGCTAAAATGCGAGAGAATTTGGCAGCTAAACGTCGGCAACGAGCAGGAGCAGTGAAGATGTCAAATGACGGTGGAATTACGAGTGACATCAGTGGAAAGGAGGGTGGAAATGCTCTCGAAAAAACTGGGCGTTCTAGTTGCTAATTTTACAAATAAAGCGATGGAAAAAACTACGAGAAAAGCACTTTAAATGACAAGAAGCAGTCGACGTTCAGAAGAAACAAGCGGCAGTCGTTGTGGCTGTAGCAGACGCTCAATTAGCGCTCTTAGATGAGCTGGAGAGCGGCAAAACCCTTGAAGAAGCTGGTCGAGAGACGACAACTGCATTGATGACGCCTCATAGTCGAGCGGATTTGAAGGGAGAGCTTCAGGAGACTCTGGCGAGTCAAATCCCAGCTCTAATCGAGTTTCAATCCCAGGAAATGTTTGATAAACTGCATGCCGACTGCGTTTTGGCTTGCCCCGAGAGACTCCGAGAGTTTAAAGCTGATGCGGGTCTGCGCAAGCCAAATTGACTGAGAAATTGAGTCATAGACGTCATGCGAGTACGGGAAAAGCTGTGTCCAATAGCTCTGGCCCTGCTGACTTGGAGAAGGCTGCCTTAGTGGAAATTGAAGAAGAACTGAAGACTGCAATGGCAGCATTAGACGAAACTGAGAGACAGACTGGGAAAGCGTTAGCAAAAGAGCTGTCGTCTACGCTCCACAATTCTGGGAAAGAGGTGGAAGCTCAGATCCGTCACTGTAGACAGCTGCATGAACTCGCTCGGAACAAACGCAAGCCAGGCGATGCAGAAAAGGATTTAACGAATACAGTGGTGAAACTGCTGGATAAATCGGAGGAAGACGCAGCAGCTCGTGAGAGGGAAGCTGCAAACACTCGAGACACTATTAAACGCAAGATTGAGCGCTTGAAAGACGAGAGTTCCAACGCTATAATGGCTTTAACGCAGGCTTTAAAACGACGCCAGCAGCAGCGTTTAGCGCAGCGAATGGCTCAGAGACGCGAGCAGCAGCAGAAACAAATCCCCGTCGTCTCTTCAGCTCAAGAAATCGCGGAAATGAACGCTGTGATGGACAAACAGGAGGTTGTAGAGAGAGAGTGACTGGAATATCGACTGGAGAGCCATGCGCAACTGGCATTTGATAAAGGGCGCAGTTTGTGACGAAACGTGAGTTTTTAGGGATCACGACTGCTCCTAAGGAGCCTCCTACAGTATGCACGGGACCCCCCACAGAGATGCCGGCGTTACCTTCTTGCTTCGGAAATTCCACACATCTTGTATAACTAGTCTGATCCTCCCCGCTATTTAAAATTTCTAAAAGATAATTGGGATGAAGCTGAAAAACATTCCTCTTTTTTTATCTTCCACCTGTCCAGCGACATTGGAAATCTACATGTAAAAGAGTCCTGGTGTATTCCTCTTAGACATTTGCCCCCGCATGCCTCATGTCTGACCACTGGCGATGAAACCGAGCAATATCCTCCTTTCTCTTTTTTTGCTTGTGGGCCTTCGTCCATGGAAACGCCCCCTTGAACTTATTTTTAAGAAAGCTTAGGAAGCCGTCCTTTGCCGCCAATCGCCGCATTCCTTCATCTGCACGAAGTCGATTGACAGTTTCCGGCGACTCGCCATCCTTAATCAACGCCTTGGAACCCTTGGTCACAGAAACCGCAGTGCCACTGGCTTGGACGATGGCCGCGCAAACAAAAACCAAGACGTAGGTGAGGCGCATGTTTGATGTTGGTATATGCTTGTAGAAGAAGAACTTGTGGTTGCTGAGTAAATTGCGGAATGAAGCTTGCGTTGCCGAGTTCTTTTTTAGCAACTGTACTGAAGTGAAGTAGCAATAGCATTGTCGCGTTTACGGTTACCACATAATTCTAAGCAAACATCCGATGTCGAGCTGAAGTTGGGATGGGCTCCGAATTCTTTCTGAGTCGAAAGTTGCAGCGATCAAACTAGAGGTGATTATTATTAATAGGTCAATCGCTTGCGAGCCTCTTCTCTACATTGAAACCCTAACTTATCCGACGTTGATTGTGTATATGAGCCGGCAGGTGTTGATAGATTAGTCTCTGACTTCTACGCGGTTGTTTTATACTCTCAACTTGCATCTTAGCTCTTGCTGTAACTTGTTAAGGTCATTATGTCCAGTACAGTCGAGAGCTTTGGTGTTGGACTCAAGCGCAAAGTGTGCAACGAAGAGCAATTTCCATAAGTCAGTAGTTACTACTGAGATCGGGTGATTTGATTTGTAAATAGTGTTATTGTCAGCGAATCTCAGTAGTTATGAAATAGTACTTCATTTCAAATTAAATAGTATAGTATTTTTACGTATGATGCGCATGCTAGCAACATTTTTTTTATCTAATACGTAAATCCAACGGCACTCAACAGACGTTGACTTGGTTTTCTATTGTTGTCGTCGTGCATTCGTTTCTCACTGCTACAAGCCCATTTCTCTGTTTCCTCTCACCAGCTCGTTAGTTCCACGAGGCACACAATACACTGGCCGAATGCTCCGCTCTCGAACACGAAAAGCTCGCACTTTCGGGTCGGCTCCATTCGTGGTGAACGTGTCAGAGCTGGATATGGCCAGGTCGCTTGGCTTGTTGAGACAAGATGTACCAATTGAAGTGACAGACTGTAGCAAGACCAACTACGGTGTGGCGTACCAGCGGCGAGAGAACATCGGGATCGAGACTCACGGATCTCAAAAGGCAATTCAAGAACGCTGCAAAGAACTTGCTCAATCGTCCGGCTTTTAGTTGTTTGTCAAAAGCTTCAGTAGCAAGGCAAACGATAGTGGAAATGCAAAGTATATCTGCAAAAAACTGAATGGTCAGCAATTCTTCGACAAACACCTCCTATGACGAAATTGAGTGTCCGTTTGCTATCAATGTCCACGGAGTTGAAAGGTGACTCGCATTAATTTTGCTCACAACCACGTCATGCGTGTGGGATTCACAGAGCAACCTCCTGCCGAGGGTGTTATCGCTTGGCCAAGAGAAATACAACGCAAGATTTATCGACACTGACACACTTGATCGAAGCAGAAATGCTGCCTAGGTATGACGGAACAACTGACAAGATGATAGGCGCAGCAATTGCCAGATTCCTCGTGGGTAAAGGCCAAAAACTCGGGCCGAGTGTTATTTCGCGGATCAAGAGCTCGATTGATGAGCGATTGGGTGGTGATATGACTGACAGCTATCAGAAGCTTGAGTCTTCTAAGGTTACTTGCTGAAAAAAACCCGGGCTCAATTATGAAGTTTGAGAAATTCGGCAACGGGACTTTTATTCGAGCATGTTTTATCCCAAACATCGGGATCCAAGTCGCCAAAAGAAGTCGCCGTTTGTACGGCTTTGACGGAGCTCATCTCAAAGGTGAGATGAACCAGCGAGGGTTTTTTCTGGTGGCGACTTCAAAAGACTTTAACAGCTCGATACTTCCTTTCGCTTTCTCTCTCGTTCCTGTTGAGAACAAGGAACACTGGATTTGGTTTCTATACGTCGTCAAGGAGGCTTTGGGCGACATAGAAGCTTTTACAGCTCTCTCTGACAGAGATAAAGGCCTTCAAGCGGGAGTACACACTGTTTTTCCGCGCGCTGGACATCGATTTTGCCTTCGGCATATAAAAGGAAACATCACCAGCAAAGAAAAGATTTCACTAACGAACAAAGAGCGCGGGTTAATCTCAAAAATGGCCAATTGTGACTGTGAAAACGACTATAAGTTATTCGAATCAGAACTCAAAATCACAAAACCAGCTGCAGCAACATACTTGTCTGGGATTTCGAAACAGCACTGGGTGAAATATGTGTATCAGGATCATTTCAAGTTACCTACTTACGGAGAGACCACATCAAATTTAGCCGAACAATCCAACAACTGGATCGGAAACAAATGTCGAAGCGCCAAGCCTCTCGATGCCTTTGGGTTGTACTTTCGAAAATTGAGTGAACTTGTGTCCTCAAAGAGACAACTAGCTGCTGCGTGGTTGGACAAGAGACAATCCACTACATTGGTTCCGCAGCTCGCAAAAAAGAGAGAAGATCTCATCAAGGCTGCTGGATCATGCCAAATTACTCCGTGTTTAGCCGGTGCGTACGACGTTCTCTATCTCGGTCCTACTGCGGAAGAAGGATATATCCACCCTTGGCGTTTAGTGGATCTACCTGGAGCGGAATGTACATGTGGAAATTGGCAGGACACAGACTTCCCATGTGTTCATGCAGTAGCAGCAGCTATAAAGGACGGACGAGACTTGGATACTCTGTACGACGCAGAGATAATGTCCATTGGATACTTCAAGGAAACATACAATGTTTCCTTTAAGCCGTGGCCAATTGACGTCATTTTAGAGAAAGATACGGGACTCTTAGTTCCGGCGATACAAGAGAACCCACGCGAGAACGGCAAACGTGGACTAAAACCAGGCCCGAAGCCAAAGCACAAGAGAAAGAAAACAAAGGGAGCCGAATAAGAGAAGCGTTTATGTATTTGCATTAAAGACAACAGCAATTCACAGTACTTTACGCGGTAGTATTTTATCTTGTCATGACGATAGCACAAGAAACGACTTTTTCATTTGAAAATATTTTATTTTAGTGTTATTTTAGGCGCATGAGCGAAAGGAGCCGAAAAAGTGTAGTACGGGTTGATTGTTTCAATAATTAGGTCTATTATAGGCTCCGTTTGGCCAAAACGTAAGCTACAAAAGACATGTTACCCGTTTTGCTGTTAAAATATATGTAAGCAAAAACGGACAATTAATGATTAAAGAAATTAGTTGTAGTAAATGATATTCTAACATTACCACTTCCAAAAAGGTAATAGTACTACTATCATGCTACACTCAATATCACTCTAGCTACCTGCGTCCAGTCTAACTGAGCCAAACCCTTGGCAGTGGACAAGTTGTCTCCAAAACAAACCCACTTGGGCTCTTTCGTGGCCTCGTCGTCCAAAGCGTCATCACTAGAGCCGTCGCACTCAAAATCCCACATTCCCACCTTGTCTAATTCTTTTTTAATTGAATTTACCTTTCTGTAATACCGGTTTGCTTCTTTTCTTTTTGCCTTTTAAAGAGCTACGGCCTTGGGACCGCATCCGCGTTGACGGTTCAAATGGTTCTTTAGCTTAGTCGGAGAGCTGAAGGTGACCTTGCAGGATGGGCAGGTTCGGGGCAAACGCTTTTTGGGCCGGCCCAATTTCTTCTTCGAGAGGTTGCGGAGTACAGGGGCCATGGCGTGGATAAAATGGAAATGAGAAAGTTGTTTTGTAAGAGGATGTAGCTCTTCTTCATGCATTCGATGGTTGGGCATCACTGTGTATTACTATTATACTACTACCCAGGCGTAACACATCTAACGCTTGGGACAACTACTGATCAGTACTTTACACGCACCAAATCAAATCTTCCATAAGTCAGTAGTAACTACTGACTTACACGCACCAAATCAAATCTTCCATAAGTCAGTAGTAACTACTGAGTAGTAATTACTGACTTATGGAAATTGCTCTGTGAATCGCTGAACTTGGGATGTGCTTGCTCTGAATTCTTTCATGATCACCTAAAATAGTCCCATCGACTAAGCTTTACTGTAGTATTGATCGTTAAGCAATGCACCGCTGTCTTCGCTGCGTTTTTGCTGCATATCTTGTCATTGAGTCATTCTGTTTCCCAGAATGACTTTGCGGGAAGTCGTGTTTTTGGCCTCATTCTTTTACAAGGTGTCCACGCGGTGATGTGTGTTTATCTCGTTGCCCCGACGTGCTGCTCTGGCTCTGGTTTCTTGGGTCCCGTCAGGCTTGAAGCGCAAAGTGCTCAACGATGAAACCAAGTTGCTCAAAAGTCAATATTGTAACGGAGCTGGACAATTGTGGGGAGGTATTACTGTGATGTCAATCACTTTGAAAAAATGATGAAAGGAACGATGAAAATGACCGCGAGATGAACCTCAACACTATCATTTTAGTCTGACATCTTCATCAGAAAACGTCGTACCCAAAAAAAACGAAACGAGGTGCGCTACCCTACAATGTCAACTGTGATTGGAAAGAAGAGCTCAAGGCATATCCAGTTGCTCGTGACGGCTCAGCTCGGCGTATCCTGCATAAGCAACTGCTCGAAAAGAATAATACTTAAGTACTTCAAAACTAAATAAATAACTTTACAATTCTTTAAAAAATACTTTTAGAACATTATTTTTATTGCGCTGTTTGAAGAACGAATTTTACTGAGCTCCCGACGTAGTTTTAAGCAACTTTTATTAAAGAGTGTTAATATTTCTTCTCTCTTCTCTTCGGTCGCGGGCGTGTCTACTCAGGTGGACACGGACATTGTAGCTCATGCGAATTCAGCCACGTTTGCTGGCGTCTTCGTTGGCGAGCTCACTCTGCAATGACCTCGAGTTTCCAGAGAATTGTCATTTTGTTTTATTGACTTGTTAAGACTAGCACGTCTTATCTTAGCGAGGAGGGGGGGGGCAACGGAGCTACACTCAAGTGGCAATGACGAGAGGTTTCACGCTGGTGTGCGAGACACCAATGACTACATTGGCAGACCACTGATCTGCATGCATTAAGAGGGCCCATTGGATGACCGAAAGCAATGGAAGCGGTCACGTACGCTCTGCGGACAAACATCGCCAACATATCGGAGCCTTTAAAGTTACCTAGTGGGGAAATCGGTATAATCACTCTACAGATGTAGCTCAACCGAGTTGTTCACGACCGGGGGCAAGTGACGGCAGAAGGCAGTGCTGCGGGATTCTAAAAGACAATTTCCAGGTTGTGACGAAACGTGAGTTTTTAGGGATCACGACTGCTCCTAAGGAGCCTCCTACAGTATGCACGGGACCCCCCACAAAGATGCCGGCGTTACCTTCTTGCTTCGGAAATTCCACACATCTTGTATAACTAGTCTGATCCTCCCCGCTGTTTAAAATTTCTAAAAGATAATTGGGATGAAGCTGAAAAACATTCCTCTTTTTTTATCTTCCACCAGTCCAGCGACATTGGAAATCTACATGTAAAAGAGTCCTGGTGTATTCCTCTTAGACATTTGCCCCCGCATGCCTCATGTCTGACCACTGGCGATGAAACCGAGCAATATCCTCCTTTCTCTTTTTTTGCTTGTGGGCCTTCGTCCATGGAAACGCCCCCTTGAACTTATTTTTAAGAAAGCTTAGGAAGCCGTCCTTTGCCGCCAATCGCCGCATTCCTTCATCTGCACGAAGTCGATTGACAGTTTCCGGCGACTCGCCATCCTTAATCAACGCCTTGGAACCCTTGGTCACAGAAACCGCAGTGCCACTGGCTTGGACGATGGCCGCGCAAACAAAAACCAAGACGTAGGTGAGGCGCATGTTTGATGTTGGTATATGCTTGTAGAAGAAGAACTTGTGGTTGCTGAGTAAATTGCGGAATGAAGCTTGCGTTGCCGAGTTCTTTTTTAGCAAACTGTACTGAAGTGAAGTAGCAATAGCATTGTCGCGTTTACGGTTACCACATAATGCTAAACAAACATCCGATGTCGAGCTGAAGTTGGGATGGGCTCCGAATTCTTTCTGAGTCGAAAGTCGCAGCGATCAAACTAGAGGTGATTATTAGGTCAATCGCTTGCGAGTCTCTTTTCGATGGAACGTAAACCCCTAACTTATCCGACGTTGATTGTGTATACCGGTATGAGCCGGCAGGTGTTGATAGATTAGTCTCTGACTTCTACCCGGTTGTCCCATACTCTCAACTTGCATCTTAGCTCTTGCTGTAACTTGTTGAGGTCATTATGTCCAGTACAGTCGAGAGCTTTGGTGTTGGACTCAAGCGCAAAGTGTGCAACGAAGAGCAATTTCCATAAGTCGGTAGTTACTACTGAGATCGGGTGATTTGATTTGTAAATAGTGTTAATTGTCAGCGAATCTCAGTATTTATGAAATAGTACTTCATTTCAAATTAAATAGTATAGTATTCTACGTATGATGCGCATGCTAGCAACATTTTTTTTATCTAATACGTAAATCCAACGGCACTCAACAGACGTTGACTTGGTTTTCTATTGTTGTCGTCGTGCATTCCTTTCTCACTGCTACAAGCCCATTTCTCTGTTTCCTCTCACCAGCTCGTTAGTTCCACGAGGCACACAATACACTGGCCGAATGCTCCGCTCTCGAACACGAAAAGCTCGCACTTTCGGGTCGGCTCCATTCGTGGTGAACGTGTCGGACAAACATCGCCAACATATCGGAGCCTTTAAAGTTACCTAGTGGGGAAATCGGTATAATCACTCTACAGATTTAGCTCAACCGAGTTGTTTACGACCGGGGCAAGTGACGGCAGAAGGCAGTGCTACGGGATTCTAAAAGACAATTTCCAGGTTGTGACGAAACGTGAGTTTTTAGGGATCACGACTGCTCCTAAGGAGCCTCCTACAGTATGCACGGGACCCCCACAGACTCTGTGACAGAGATACCGGCGTTACCTTCTTGCTTCGGAAATTCCACACATCTTGTATAACTAATCTGATCCTCCCCGCTATTTAAAATTTCTAAAAGATAATTGGGATGAAGCTGAAAAACATTCCTCTTTTTTTATCTTCCACCAGTCCAGCGACATTGGAAATCTACATGTAAAAGAGTCCTGGTGTATTCCTCTTAGACATTTGCCCCCGCATGCCTCATGTCTGACCACTGGCGATGAAACCGAGCAATATCCTCCTTTCTCTTTTTTTGCTTGTGGGCCTTCGTCCATGGAAACGCCCCCTTGAACTTATTTTTAAGAAAGCTTAGGAAGCCGTCCTTTGCCGCCAATCGCCGCATTCCTTCATCTGCACGAAGTCGATTGACAGTTTCCGGCGACTCGCCATCCTTAATCAACGCCTTGGAACCCTTGGTCACAGAAACCGCAGTGCCACTGGCTTGGACGATGGCCGCGCAAACAAAAACCAAGACGTAGGTGAGGCGCATGTTTGATGTTGGTATATGCTTGTAGAAGAAGAACTTGTGGTTGCTGAGTAAATTGCGGAATGAAGCTTGCGTTGCCGAGTTCTTTTTTAGCAACTGTACTGAAGTGAAGTAGCAATAGCATTGTCGCGTTTACGGCTACCACATACCGGTAATAACATCCGATGTCGAGCTGAAGCTCCGAATTCTTTCTGAGTCGAAAGTCGCAGCGATCAAACGATAAGCAAGTGCTACATCGTTGCTTTTGCCGGGCTACTGTCCATACTAGAGGTGATTAATAGGTCAATCGCTTGCGAGCCTCTTCTCTACATTGAACCCCTAACTTATCCGACGTTGATTGTGTATATGAGCCGGCAGGTGTTGATAGATTAGTCTCTGACTTCTACGCGGTTGTTTTATACTCTCAACTTGCATCTTAGCTCTTGCTGTAACTTGTTAAGGTCATTATGTCCAGTACAGTCGAGTGCTTTGGTGTTGGACTCAAGCGCAAAGTGTGCAACGAAGAGCAATTTCCATAAGTCAGTAGTTACTACTGAGATCGGGTGATTTGATTTGTAAATAGTGTTATTGTCAGCGAATCTCAGTAGTTATGAAATAGTACTTCATTTCAAATTAAATAGTATAGTATTCTACGTATGATGCGCATGCTAGCAACATTTTTTTTATCTAATACGTAAATCCAACGGCACTCAACAGACGTTGACTTGGTTTTCTATTGTTGTCGTCGTGCATTCGTTTCTCACTGCTACAAGCCCATTTCTCTGTTTCCTCTCACCAGCTCGTTAGTTCCACGAGGCACACAATACACTGGCCGAATGCTCCGCTCTCGAACACGAAAAGCTCGCACTTTCGGGTCGGCTCCATTCGTGGTGAACGTGTCAGAGCTGGATATGGCCAGGTCGCTTGGCTTGTTGCGACAAGATGTACCAATTGAAGTGACAGACTGTAGCAAGAGCAACTACGGTGTGGCGTACCAGCGGCGAGAGAACATCGGGATCAAGACTCACGGATCTCAAAAGGCAATTCAAGAACGCTGCAAAGAACTTGCTCAATCGTCCGGCTTTCAGTTGTTTGTCAAAAGCTTCAGTAGCAAGGCAAACGATAGTGGAAATGCAAAGTATATCTGCAAAAAACTGAATGGTCAGCAATTCTTCGACAAGAACACCTCCTATGACGAAATTGAGTGTCCGTTTGCTATCAATGTCCACGGAGTTGACGGAAGCTGGAAGGTGACTCGCATTAATTTTGCTCACAACCACGTCATGCGTGTGGGATTCACAGAGCAACCTCCTGCCGAGGGTACTATCGCTCGTTCGCAGTTGGCCAAGAGAAATACAACGCAAGATTTATCGACACTGACACACTTGATCGAAGCAGAAATGCTGCCTAGGTATGACGGAACAACTGACAAGATGATAGGCGCAGCAATTGCCAGATTCCTCGTGGGTAAAGGCCAAAAACTCGGGCCGAGTGTTATTTCGCGGATCAAGAGCTCGATTGATGAGCGATTGGGTGGTGATATGACTGACAGCTATCAGAAGCTTGAGTCTTATCTAAGGTTACTTGCTGAAAAAAAACCGGGCTCAATTATGAAGTTTGAGAAATTCGGCAACGGGACTTTTATTCGAGCATGTTTTATCCCAAACATCGGGTTCCAAGTCGCCAAAAGAAGTCGCCGTTTGTACGGCTTTGACGGAGCTCATCTCAAAGGTGAGATGAACCAGCGAGGGGTTTTTCTGGTGGCGACTTCAAAAGACTTTGACAGTTCGATACTTCCTTTCGCTTTCTCTCTCGTTCCTGTTGAGAGCAAGGAACACTGGATTTGGTTTCTATACGTCGTCAAGGAGGCTTTGGGCGACATAGAAGCTTTTACAGCTCTCTCTGACAGAGATAAAGGCCTTTAAGTGGGAGTACACACTGTTTTTCCGCGCGCTGGATATCGATTCTGCCTTCGGCATATAAAAGGAAACATCACCAGCAAAGAAAAGATTTCACTAACGAACAAAGAGCGCGGGTTAATCTCAAAAATGGCCAATTGTGACTGTGAAAACGACTATAAGTTATTAGAATCAGAACTCAAAATCACAAAACCAGCTGCAGCAACATACTTGTCTGGGATTTCGAAACAGCACTGGGTGAAATATGTGTATCAGGATCATTTCAAGTTACCTACTTACGGAGAGACCACATCAAATTTAGCCGAACAATCCAACAACTGGATCGGAAACAAATGTCGAAGCGCCAAGTCTCTCGATGCCTTTGGGTTGTACTTTCGAAAATTGAGTGAACATGTGTCCTCAAAGAGACAACTAGCTGCTGCGTGGTTGGACAAGTGACGATCCACTACATTGGTTCCGCAGCTCGCAAAAATGAGAGAAGATCTCATCAAGGCTGCTGGATCATGCCAAATTACTCCGTGTTTAGCCGGTGCGTACGACGTTCTCTATCTCTGTCCTACTGCGGAAGAAGGATATATCCACCCTTGGCGTTTAGTGGATCTACCTGGAGCGGAATGTACATGTGGAAATTGGCAGGACACAATGTGTTCATGCAGTAGCAGCAGCTATAAAGGACGGACGAGACTTGGATACTCTGTACGACGCAGAGAAAATGTCCATTGGATACTTCAAGGAAACATACAATGTTTCCTTTAAGCCGTGGCCAATTGACGTCATTTTAGAGAAAGATACGGGGACTCTTAGTTCCGGCGATACAAGAGAACCCACGCGAGAACGGCAAACGTGGGCTAAAACCAGGCCCGAAGCCAAAGCACAAGAGAAAGAAAACAAAGGGAGCCGAATAAGAGAAGCGTTTATGTATATGCATTAAAGACAACAGCAATTCACAGTACTTGTAACGGGCTTTCAGCAACCCGTTACCTTACGTACACTGTGCGTGAGGAAGCAGGCAAATTAGACTCTGAGATGTATTGAAAGCTAACGGCGTGGTCTCGGACCACGCCAACCAGTAGATGTGTTCTACAAGCTGATTGGCCATCGCATTGGATGCGATGGCGATGTGTGACGATGGGCCCGTCACACCATCCCCCACTTCAGAGAGAAAGCACGCAGCATTTTCCTTTTTGTACGGCGCGACGAACTGGGTATCGATGAGCGAGCGAGACGACGACTCGACCACGTACGCGGAGGCGCTGGAGAGGTGGGCGCTGCACGACTGCAGCGCCTTCGTGAACGCCCGCAGTGATGACGAGATGAGACGGCTGTTTGGACGTTACTTGAGGGCCCTCGACGAGGCTAGACGCGGCGGACGGCCGCGCCCGCGTGACGATCGGCCGCTGGTACGAGACCAGCCTCGTACTCCGCCACGCAGTCCGGAACGTCGGCGAGAAGGATGGCGCGAGGCTCCCAACTATCCTTCATGGGGCCGAGCCACCGAACGAGGTAGCGCCGGAGCGGAGGGATGGCAGCGTCATGGCGATCAGCGCCGTGACTCGTATGAGCAAGGTTGGGCGCAGCACGAGGGTCCTCGTGTTCCAAGATACGGTCAACGATATGACGAAGATTACCCATCACGCGCAGCACGAGGGTCCTCGTGTTCCAAGATACGGTCAACGATATGACGAAGATTACCCGCGCTATCGACAGAGGAGCGGGGCCGTCACGCTGAAAGGGTGGACCGCGGACGGCGGGAAGACGCTGCGACCGCGCAACGTCTGGATCGGTTGCTTCAGCGTGTGGAGTATCTGGAGCGGGAGAATCAAGAGCTGCGCCATCGCGTGCGACGTCAGGACGAGCCTCGGGATGATCGCCGAAGTCCGGACGCGGGGAACCATCCGCGTCGCTGGGGATTGACGAAGGGTGATAGCGGCGGAGGCGACCAACGTAGAAGGTAGGGTGGAGGCGTAGTGCTGTAGGTAGTCGAAGGGTATACGCGTCACCTAATACCTTCAATATCTTGAACGGTCCGATATATCGCGGCGTCAGCTCTTGGCGCCCAAGTTCGTCACAGAAGTGGGTGTAATGCCGTCGGTGGATAGCAAAACACGATCGCCTACTGCAAACGTCGCGAGATTCTTGCGACCACGCCTGTCTGCGTTCTCCTTCTGGCGATCCAACGCCATAGCGATGGCGTCGCGCACATAGCGGATTACCGACTCGCGACGCTGGACGAATGCAAGAGCGGCCGCGACATCACGCGGTAGCGATTCAGGGTTCGGATTGAAGTTTGCGGGCGGAGGCTCGGGTGAAGCGGCTGAGCCTGTCGCGGCATGGTACTCAACTGCGC